AACTTTTGTTTGAACTTGGGTCTGTAGTAAGGACTCCAAAAACACTTTAAAAACTTCGTTGATTATCTTTGTAGAAGTGAATCCATTGAAAGTACTGTGAATGGACACAGTAGATGCCTATTTATTTTGCTAACCTTGACTTTGTGTATTTTTGTTTGTCCTATAAGAAAGAGTAGAAAAGTTTTGATATCTTCCTTTATTCTATCTTGATTGTTTTGTGATTCCCAAACATATGATTTTCTGCATACAACTGTCATTCCTAGGCTTTTTGACAGACAGAATTTGAAATAATACATTGACATATGTAAACTGGAATGTAGATTAAAGTTTTTAGATAATTATTAGATATTTTCTAATCTAAATGTTGGTTAGGGCTGTGTATGCAAAATCCAGTGATTACTATAATTGCTTCTTTATCTTTCATATATGTGTGTTATATATGTAGAAGTAGACATCATATATGACTATATCATATATTACTAAATAAATAACCTTCTGTATTTCATTTTTTCCCTTTCTCACTGTCCAGACTGCTCTCTTTCCATATGTAAAAGTCATATATATCACTAATCCTCTGGTAATAGCAACTGCTGTGAAACAAGGCATCTAGTACTGACAAAGATGTTTACTCTAAACTGAGTTTAAACAGAAGTTAAATTTTGATTCCATTTTTTCCTGCATAAATAATCTCATAATGTTATGAAGACTGTCTAGGGTAATGAAAAATTTCTCTGTACCCCACTGAGTTAATACATTCTGTTCTGAACATGCGCCTTTGTCTTCATTAACACTGTGTGCTCACCAACAAAATGCAGCATCCTCACTATAAATCTCAGGATTTTACCACAGACTGAAGTTCACACTATCTCACTGTCTAGTCCTCAAACTCTCCATGTTCACACATCTTTATCTGCCCTTGAAAACAGTCCCAGTGAACTAGTATCAGTGTCCCACCAACATGTGCAAGAACTGGCCTTGACTGTACTGTCCTGTCACATGAGCTCACGTGAGTGCTTCTGTCTCCACTCCCTCCTTTTCTTCTTATGGGAACCTACATTTGAATAATGATGCTGACCTACCCTATGACATTAGCAAAAATGTCCAAAGAGCAGTGGAAGAAAATTTAGGAACATTCCAAACTATGGATTTTAAAGAAGCCAGGGAGACCTCTCCAGACAAGAAGTGAGACAAGTAGATGAAACAAGGAAATACCAAAAAAAAAAAAAAAAAAGGCAAAAGCCACCCTTCTACTTGATTCTTCAATTTTTTTTTTCTGCTCACATTCTCTTTCGACCACCCTCTCTAAGATTTGTCTTCCTCTTCTTCTTGACTATAATCTATAAATTTATTAAGAAAATTCACTACTTACTCAGTATCTGGTGAGAAATCAGGTATAGAATATATGAAGAAGCTTAAGATATCGTTTCTGCATTTACATAGGTTATAATGGCAATGAATCCACAGAGGGACATATCAACACCATCATCACAACCGTTAAAACAGTACTTGAAAAATGCCAAGGAAAGGTAGTAAAAGGACCCACTTTTGGTGGAGATATTTCGTGGCAAGAGTGACAAAAGAGAATGTCAGAGAGGAGATGGGACTTGCACAGGGCGAAAGAGGCCTTGAGTGTGGAAGAACTGCTTATTCTCTTTCAATCCTTAGAAAGGGAAGGAAAGATCACCACCAGCTCCATGCCCCACTCTCAGCTTAATGGCACACCCAGTTGCTCTGCCTACAAGATTAGAAACTACACCATGAGAAAATATCTGAATTCCCCCCTTCTATTGTATTTTTAAGCTAAACAATGTACAGAAAAAGGATGAGACTGATTAAGGAACTATTATTTAAAAAAACAGAGGGATTAGGAAATTTTTACAGTATTACAGGTGAAAACTAATATAGCCATGGATTATGGTGATGGCAATGGAGAATTGGAATGAAGAAAAGATTTTAGAGATTACTCAAAAGCAAAATTTCAGGAGCGGAGAAGCATGTTAAATATTTGTATTTAGGAAAGGAGGTAGGTTTCATATTTCTACAGGAGTAATCCAGACATGGAGAAATAGGAGCACAATACATAGTAGATAACAGTAAACAACCCAGACTGTAGAAAGTGAGAATAATAACTGGCCAAGTTTATAGCACCCCAAAATTTAAAAGGCAGGTAAATATGGAGAAACAGTAGTTAGACTGAAGCCAGATACCAAATAGCACATATAACTCACATATATGAATATAGAACATAATTCACACAGGATATATTCGTATCTTTATGTAGGTATGTATATGAATAATGTAGCAATATTTGTGTTTTTACACTACTTATTTGTCACTGATGAAAAGATATAAGAAGAATAGGGAAATAACCTTGCTTAAGCTAACTACTCTGTTTCTGTGTTTAGTTATGTAGAGAAACTGAGTGAAAGGAGATACAGACCTCCAATTCCACTTTATCTTCCCTTAACAAATATCTAGCAATGATAAGAAAAGTTTTTAGTAGGGAAATATTTTTAAAAGATCACCTAAGCAATCTTATACACACCCCAGATTCTCTTAAGCTGCATTTAACACTTAATAGGATTGCTTATCAAATTCAATTAATAATTTGCATTGAATGTCTGTGATGTGCAAGATACAGGATGTGTTTGTGACATGAGATTTTTTTTTAACGTAGATGGAAAATGAAGAAATGAGACAATTGTTATGACTCATAACAAAACCTATAGCACATTTCACAAGGCATAATTCAAAGTACTCTTAACTGTTCTGTTCTGCCATGGAGAGGTAGAATTGCCTGGCATTATGACTTCATTATGGCCAGAGAACAGTCACCTCTACCTGTGCTGTCAAAATCATCATTCTTCCCTAGAATTATTTAGAAATTTTAAACAAGGATTTATTTTTCAATTGTCATGGCCTAGAGGTACAATGCAAGGAGAGTCAAAACTTTTGTGTAAAACTGATTCCAGCATTGTTCTTGCCTTGGCGAATCTTAACTTTGACCTTGTCCACAAGTGCATTTTAGATATTAAATAAAGCATCTGAATTGTGTGCATATTTATTCATTGATGTCTCATCTACATTTGACTATTTCTTTATACCTTTAGAACAAAAAGTGTAAATTTTGCTGTCCAATGTTTATTATTTCCTGTACACACTAAACCAATTATAACACATTTAAATAAAACAGAATTGTAGCTAATAAATAAAAATACAAAATTTAAACAATAACCTGCCAAATTATACATTGAGTCACAAAATATCTCTTGGAACTTAAAAGTATGCTAAACAAATTTGTAGACACAGGATTATATTAATACATGTTTTCCCCAAGTATTTATATACTCAATAAGACTCCCAATACTTTTTAGAAAAATGGTTGTTTTTAATATTAATGTGACAATTAAAGGTTAACTTGAATTTTTAAAATAGAACAACGTATATCTATCCATTTATAGTATAAATTATTTAGAAAATTTACTTTAAAGGTTTCCAGATTCTATTATACTTTTATTTTGATCATGAATTCAAAGATTTTCCTTATGATGAAAAACATTTTTAACAAACTGATTTGAATTCTTATGGTGAATTGATCTATGACCTACAAAATATTTCCATATTCCCTTATATTCATTTATAAATGCTTTATAACATTTTATGAGAGGGAATTTTTAGTGAAAATGTCCTCTGATTTATGAAAATACACATATATCATCTTATGAAATTACTGCTTTTTATAATTTGCTTTTGATTATAATAAAGAGACTTCACGGGGGTGGCAGTTTGGCAAGCATGTTTCATACTCCAAGAAATGCTGTACCTACAAAGATTTTTTTTTTAATCCAGCTTTACAATGAAAAAAAACTTAAACTTAAAGTACAGTGTTTTTCTTTCCACTGTCATTAGTTACTTAAAATATGAACTGATAATGTAACCCGATCAGGCTGCCCTGACTTTCAGGGGGAAGGAGAAAGGGGAAAAGCTCATAAAACAAGATTTTTTGAACATTTTTTTCATTTAAAAAAATGGTTGGAATTTCTACAAAGATGCCATTTTCAATGATGTTTTAATAATAACTTCCTACATCATAAGGAGAAATATTAAATATCTATTAGTCACATTTAATAATGAACCAAAATATATTCATGACCCAACTAAAAATCTTCCAGAAACACCCACTGGGTAGATCATAACTGTACAAAGATCTCAAGCTTAAATAGGGACCAAACACCCAATCCATTGAATTTTTCTGTAAGACATAGCATTTGCATGATTCTTAAAAATTTAAATACCTCTACCTCCTCAAGGCTAGGATGCCCAGGAAGGGCGGTGGCCCTATAAGAATGTCCAAAGCAAAAAATCATTAAAATTATTAGCAAGGAACTAAAGTTTGACTTAAAATGCATCCTGTGGTAAGAAGAAGCTGAAAGTCAATGTTTCATTAAATACCTAAGAGTATTTTTTGAACAATCATGTACCTATGTATTCAATAAAATATTTCAGACGTTTCAATAGTAATAAAATTTGAGGAAGCAAACTCCTGATCCGAAAATAGGGAGTGGCTTTCATGCAACCAAAGCCATTTTAGGATTTTTTAAAACAGTTCATTTTTTGCTAAAAAGAAAACCCATTTATTTTGTCATTAAACAATTCCTCAGACTTTCACCAACACGTGTTCACATCTCCGTGTGAGGGGTAAGTAGCAGGGTTGCTTTCACAATACCTCAATGGTTTGTAACTAAACAGATGCTATTTTTTTTTTGTTTAAGTTGTGATTCCCCCACACCAAATACATATACATTTTTAAACAGAAACAATATATTCTGTCACAAAACAAGCCGGATCTCCTGGAGCCACAACAATCTTGACCATTTTACAGCAGACTTATCACGTCCAGTCCCCAAAACACAATTTATTTTTAATATCTATTTCAAATAAATGTTTCTCCAAAAGAAAAGAAAAAACAATTAAGGAAATATGAATATTCTTGTACCTACCTGTAACAAACACTTGTGTGTCCAGAAAGGCAAAGCCAAATGCCAAAAGTTTAAGCCACATATACATGGTCATATCTGCAAATCAGCCGTGTCCCTAAGAAACAGCATGCGTCCCCCTGAAAGGCAAAGTAATGGTTATCTCTCTAAAAGATTTTCTCTGTAAACCTGAATCAAAAATAAAAGAAATGGATGCATACGCTTCACTGCTGTTTTATCAGACGGGGAGCAATTTCCTCCTCTGCTACCCCAAGAGCAAACCACTTGCCAGCTACATGGAGCTAGCAACTAGAGGGTGGTGATGTCAGATTCGGTTTTACTTACTTCTCCAAAAATACTGTAAAGGGACCTCTTTGCAGGAAGTTAAAAAAAAAAAATCTTTCAAAGTAAATGCAATGGCATTTTACTTCCTTTAAGTAGTTATACTAAGCTAGTAGGCCTTTTAAAAGATTATTCCCCTGCAAGAAAAATCTTCAACTATTCATACAGCAATTCTTTAGAATATACATTATAGTTTTCAACAATAGAAATCCTGTCAAAACAATAAATAATTTTTCTAACTAGGAGATGATAAAATTAAACTCAGTCTGGGTCTAACAGAGTGGGAGGTGATAAAATGATACAGTATCTGAAGTGAAGAAAAAGCATTGATTTATTTAGATGACCAAGTGAACGAATGAACTACCTATCTGGTTATTTTTGGCAACCAGTATCATTCACTATGTGGGCATTCAAGCTCCAGAAACATGACAGTTTTAGCACAGAACCCATTTCCTATGCAAAAGTACCTTCAGGGGGCTTAACAGTTTCCCCCAAAATCTTTACAAAATATGCTTGTGAGGCTAGGAATGGAATCAAAATGCCATTTCTATCACAGCATGTCCTGCTTCAAAACATTAATACATCATTGACCTAGGATATTCGTCATGTTACTAATGAGGGGGAAAAATACCAAGTGTCTTTTACAAAAGTTAGACTTTTTCAACTTTTTTGATAGGACAAGAAATGAATAAAAATGCTTTTCATTTTCAGATGGTATTCTTAGTAAGTCCATGAATAAGATGTTTACTGGCAAAATGCTATTATGAACCCAGCAATATGAATGAATTGTTATAATTATCACAATATATGCATTTAAAAATAAAAGTACACACATGTAGCACTGATTCTTGGAACTATAGGCAAATACTTGGAGTACTTATAGGCAGACAACCTATGCATTAATTCTACAATCCCCAGTTAAGAATTATTATAGGCTTTTTGTATTTATGTAAATAAATATTTTGATATTTATAGACTTACACTCTTACTTTGGCTGCTAGGAACTACAGAGACAAATTTGCTTCCAGTTGGTGCAAATGGAAATAATCTCATAGCTTAAACTCTCAGTAACAACATTTTCACAGTAGTATAATTATGATTACATTTGATTTTGATTATTATTATCTGTGTTGCCTTATGAGACTGTGCATGAAATGTGCTTAACACTTTCCACACATTACCTAATTATTATTCTACTCTTGATCTAGATAATGTTACTAATCTCCATCTTATCTATGTTGTTCTGAGAGAGTTTACGTGATTTGTCTAAGACCTCATAGCAAAAAAAAAAAAAAAAAAAAATAGATCTAAGTTATGATTGGAACCCAAGTCCCTAAATTTTATCTTCTCCTTACTTACCATCCTGCTTCATCTTCTCACTTCTTTCCTCAGTTTAATTGTACTATGTATTTTTATACTTTTTGTCTCTAAGAGAGAGATTACTAAATCTGTAAAAATTATGATGTTATCAGTTTAGTCCTGTGGATTAAACCCAGGGGTACTCTACCACTGAGCCATACCTGAATTCTTTTTGTTTTATTTTGAGTCAGGGTCTTGCTAATCTGCTGAGGCTGGCCTTGAATGTGCCATTATCCTGCCTTAGCCTCCAGAGTTGTTGGTATTATAAGCATGCACTATCACACCTGGCTGTGTACATATTTTTAAATAAGATAGTTGTGAAATCACTAATTTTCATATGAGTACACCTAATGGAAAGTAGGCATCACAGACCACAAATTTGTGTGCTTAGCTCTGCACTCTATTTCTTAAAACACATTTATAATAGAAAACTCTTTGGAAATTAGCTTAATCTATTTTTAAGTAAATACTTGTATTCTGTTAACTTGATATTATGGTAGAAAATTTGACAAAACTAGAGGTCAGGAGGAAAAGATTTGACATATGATCTTTATGATCTTTTAAAAGTGTACAAAATATACCCCTTTATATATATATATATATATATATATATATATATATATATATATATATCTTTTAAAATTTTTTATTCTAACTTGTTACATATGACATCAGAATGTATTATAATTCATATTAAACATATAGAGCACAATTTTTCAAATCTCTGGTTGTATACAAGGTATTTTCACATCATTTGCATCTTCATACATGTACTTAGGGTAATGATGTCCATCTCATTCCACCATCTTTTCCCACCCTTGCCCATTCCCTTCCCCTCCCTCCCCTTTGCCTTACTAGAGTTCATTTAATCTTCCCATGTTCCCCTTCCCAACCCCACTATGAATTAGCCTCCTTATATCAGAGAAAAAATCCAGCATTTGGTCTTTTGGGATTGAATAACTTCAATTAGCATTATATTCTCTAACTCCATCCATTTACCTGCAAATACCATGATTTTATTCTCTTGTTAAGCAATATTCCATTGTGTATATATACCACATTTTCTTTATCCATTCATCTACCTGCGGGCATCTAGGTTGGTTCCACAATTTAGCTATTGTGAATTGTGCTGCTATAAACATTGATGTGGCTGTGTCCCTGTAGTATGCTCTTTTTAAGTCCTTTGGGTATGGACTAAGGAGTGGGATAGCTGGGTTAAATGGTGGTTCCATTCCTAGTTTTCCAAGGAATCTTCATACTATTTTCCACATTGGCTGCACCAGTTTGCAGTCCCAGCAGCAAAGTACGGAGTGTGCCTTTTCCCCCACATCCTCACCAGCAATTATTGTTGTTTATATTCTTAATAGCTGCCATTCTGACTGGAATGAAATTAAATCTTACAGTAGCTTTGATTTGCATTTCTCTAATTGCTAGAGATGTTGAACAGTTTTTCATACATTTATTGATTGATTGTATATTATCTTCTGAGAAGTATCTGTTCATTTCTTTGGCCCATTTATTAATTGGGTTATGTGGGGGGTTTTTTTGGTGTTTAGCTTTTTGAGCTTTTTATATACCCTAGAGATTAGTGTTCTATCTGATGTGAGCAGGTAAAAACTTGCTCCCAAGATGTAGGCTCTCTATTCACTTCATGGTTGTTTCTTTTGCTGATAAGAAGCTTTCCAGTTTGAATTCATCCCATTTATTCTTGATTTTAATTCTTGAGCTATAGAACCAACCTAACAAAAGAGGTGAAAAAACTTTTTTTTTAAATAGAGAGAGAGAGAGAGATAGAGAGAGGATTTTAATATTTATTTTTTAGTTATCGGCGGACACATCATCTTTGTTTGTATGTGGTGCTGAGGATCGAACCCAGGCCGCATGCACGCCAGGAGAGCGCGCTACCGCTTGAGCCACATCCCCAGCCCGGTGAAAAAACTTTACAACAAAAAAATACAGAAAGCTAAAGAAAGAAATTAAAGAAGACCTTAGAAGATAGAAAGATTTTCCTAGTTCTTGGATAGGCAGAATTAATATTGTCAAAATGACCATACTACCAAAAGCATTGTACAAATTTAATGAAATTTCAATCAAAATTCCAATGATATTCCTCCCAGAAATAGAAAAAGTAGTCATGAAATTTTTCTGGAAAAAAAAAGAGTCCCAGAATAGCTAAAGCAATCCTTAGCAAGAAGAGTGAAGCAGGTGGCATAACTATACCAGACCTTCAACAGGATCATATCTCAACATTGTATATAACTCAAGAATTAAAATCAAGAACTATGTTAAATAGGAGTGGTGACAGAGGGCATCTCTGTCTTGTTCCAGTTTTTAGAGGGAATTCTTTCAATTTCTCTCCATTTAGAATGATGTTTGCCTGGGGCTTAGCATCGAAAGCCTTTACAATGTTGAGATATGATCCTGTTATCCCTAGCTTTTCTAGTGTTTTGAACATTTAGGGGTGCTGTATTTTGTTGAATGCTTTTTCTGTTACATCTATTGAGATGATCATATGATTCTTATACTTAAGTATATTGATGTGATAAATTACATTTATTGGGTTTCATATGTTGAACCAACCTTGCATCCCTGAGATGAATCCTACTTGGTTGTGGTGCACTATCTTTTTAATATGTATTTGTATTTGATTTGCCAGAATTTTACCAAAAATTTTTTATCTATGTTCATTAGAGATATTGGTCTGAAGTTTTCTTTTTTTGATGTGTCATTGCCTGGTTTTGAAATCAGGGTGATATTGGCCTCATAGAATGAATTTGGAAGTGCTCCCTCTTTTTCTATTTCCTGAAATAAATTGAAGAGTATTGGTATTAGTTTTTCTTTAAAGGTGCTGTAAAATTCGGCTGTGTATCCATCCAGTCCTGGGCTTTTCTTGGTTGGTAGCCTTCTGATGGCATCTTCTATTTCATCGCTTGAAATTGATCTGTTTAAATTGTGTATATCATCTTGATTCAATGTGGGCAACTCATGTGCCTCTAGAAATTTGTCTATGCCTTCAATATTCTCTATTTTATTGGAGTACAATTTTCAAAATAATTTCTATTTATCTTCTGTATTTCTGTAGTGTCTATTGTGATATTTCCTTTTTCATCACGAATGTTACAAATTTGAGTTTTCTCTCTCCTTCTCTTCATTAGCATGGCTAAGGGTTTGCCAGTTTTATTTATTTTTTCAAAGAACCCAGTTTTTTGTTTTGTCAATTTTTTCAATTGTTCCTTTTATTTCAATTTCATTGATTTTAGCTCTGATTTTTAATTATTTCCTGTCCTCTACTGCTTTTGGTGTTGATTTGTTCTTATTTTTCTAGGGCTTTGAGATGTAATATTAATTTATTTGTTGACTTTTTCTTTTTTTAAAGGAATGGACTCCATGCCATGAACTTTCCTCTTAGTATTGCCTTCATATTGTCCCAGAGATTTCAATTTGTTGTATCTGTGTTCTCATTCACCTCTAAATTTTTTTTAATCTCCTCCTTGATGTCTTCTGCTACTCATTGTTCATTGAGTAGCATATTATTTAGTCTCCAGGTATTGGAGTAGCTTTTATTTCTTTTTTTATCATTGATTTTTAATTGATCTGATAGAATGCAGGGTAGTATCTCTACTTTTTTATATTTTCTAAGAGTT